GGTTGTAAACGTTCAAAGGCTTCATTCGCGTATCCGACCATCCCGTTAAATAAAATGAAACTGTACGTTTTGATGAGTTGAAAATCATATTTAATCGTGTCGAGATATAAAAGCGTATTAGCAAGAGTGTCGGAAATAGTGCGCGATACGTTATCGCGCTTTACGCTGGCCCTTTCGTGTTCCCAGACCGTTTTATTGCACCGTGAAAGGGTTAATACTACGCCGACGTACCGTCTGGCTTGACGGAATCGCCAGGAGAAAAATAAATGCGTTCCTACGCGCCACGACGAAGAACCGAGCCACGAAGAAGTCTCGATGGTTCGTCGTCGAGGTCCACTTTCGGTATGCAAGAGGAGAACGTGGCACGTACCGCGTCTATATTAAACTCGCTCAGCCCTTGTGTGCGTGCGTAAGCTCCTCGTAAGCTTGCAAGCACAGCCAGCCACTCGCATTCAATCCGAATCAAGCATTTTCTCCGAGATAGCCTCGACCAAATAATTTGCCTATCGTTACATTCGCTAACATACGTCCTCGGCCATAATGCGAATTTTTTCGCATAACATTTCCTTCTGGTAGGTATTAAGAATTGGAAAGATAAATTCCTATTTTTAACATGACACTGATGGACTTAGTTTTGACGTTTGCACCTGTCAATACTTCCGTTGTCCGTCTATTCCGAGGGACAATTTGTTCATCAAATATTCAGTTTTAATTTCGTTCTGCCACGAAATAGGAACGTAACAATGAATCGATTCTGAAAATTGATCATCGATCAGGATTGCAAGTCGGAGCGATAGTATTAGTAGAACTGCCTGTGAGCCATTCGACTTCGTTGTTCAAACGAGCTCAGAAATAGAATTCGGGGAATGTAGCGTAATAGCGTAAATTGATTGAATAAAAATGATTATTGTCAGGTATTAAGGGGACAATTGTCACACGTTAAGAATACGTGCACGTGTAACGAGAGTCACATAAATCTGTAATTGAACTGTACGTGGGAAATGAACTAGGCATGTCGCAGCTTTTCTAATTTAAGGAACTGAATGAACCACTTCGGCTCAGTTCCTTTGGTTGGCTTCCAAATCGTAGAATTTAGGCTCGCAAGACACAAGCAATCGCCGAATGAGTTCTAACGAGTTGATGACGGGCGATGACAAGATCGACAGTTTCGAATTCGAGCAGCCCTGTCTCCATGCCTCTCTTCGCTGATTATCCTTCGCTTAGCAAACACGAACCTAACTCTGCGTGTACTGAATTTTTAGCCGACAATCTCCGCAGATGACTCACGGCTTGAAATCACAGACCGATTGGAAAGTTTCCAGTTTATCGAGAAGGCCTCGTGAAAATCAGAATTATGGCATAAACAAAACTTCATGCGATGTGTCAAGCGTGCGTTCGCCTTTTTATTATACTTTCATTTAAAATCGTCAAGTAAGGCATTCGTGGTTCCAGCGATGATCCGACGGACGAATTAAAAATTGCTTATCGCTTTATTCCGTTATCGGTTCGATCGAATGCTGGGGGCGATCCGTTCAATATGCAATATTCCGTACGTCGTGTAAATTTACGTTTGCGGTTAAATGCGATTAGATGATAGCGATGTTCGCGATAGACACGCGTTTTAGACAATAACTCGCATCGGTTGAGGTAATCACCGTTACGCCATTACATAACGACGGAGATTGCAAATAGCATTGTAATTGTCATCGTTAATGAAATTCTACTCTGCTTCGGAAGGCATCGAAAGATATTTATGCCATTTAACCGACTAAAATGATCTATCGAATTGAGAATTGATTTGTAAAAGATTAACGTTCGCATTGGCGGATCTTCTTTCGAGAGAACGACTAGAAAGTCTGACGAACGGTAGAAAAAAGTGTTTGTCCAAGTTCTATCAACGGACGGAAGTAAGCGAAATCGTGATTGTGCTTCGGTTGTCGCGAATTTCCGGCCCGGTCCGCCCGACTGGCTTCGTCGACTGCGAGCAAATATTTTGCTTTTTGCCACGGAATAACGGATGATGGAGCACCTCTCCCGATGGTGCGCAAAACAAAAAAAATGTTACCCCTCTCCGGCGGGCGACTTCCCACGCGGGCAAAAAATCTGCCGACGTTTCCCTCGCGAGTAAAAATTGAATGGGGGTAAAAAAGGCGAGGAGATCTGTATTTAGGGTGCGCATTCTAGGGCAGAATGTAATTGCAACGATACGAGTATCCAATTACGCTATCGCTTCAACAGTGGACTGTGCCACGAAGTCTGATTCAAAATTACTCGGCCTCTCGCGTCCTTTTATTATTTTTCAGTAATAAGCTGCGACACGTGCGTGCCACTTTTCTAATTACCTACTGCGATCTGTTCCGTTCCAACGTTCATTCGTTTTCTCAAAAACGGAATTAACACGATTATAAATTCAATCGAAATTTCAAGCTCATGTTGCAGAATGACGATTGTCGTCTGATAAAACGCACCCACTGTCTCTGTAGTACATCTGGCCTGATTAGTCCCTTTATTAGAATTAAGAAAATCAATCTGATTACGTGCAGGATTCGTTTCGATAAATTGCATCGACCCACATACGATTTAATAACAGGATTATTAGAAGCGCACGTTCCAGCCTGACGCAACGAACGGATTAGGGTTAAAAAAAAGCGACTCGAGTGTTACTATTTCCCCCATTTGCATCATAAGCTGGCTGCATAAATGTTGTCATAAGAATTGAGAGAACAATTCATACGATGACTATTACAATATTTATATAACGAGCGAGTGGCAAAATACAGAATCCTGAATGAAAATATGAAATTCCTACTTCCTACACCTGTCCATCACACTCTCGTTCCACTACTGCAGAAGCTCTGCGGGGAGAGATTCGAGTGTGCGACGTTTCAGCGAATGCACCGAATTTTTCCATAACGCACTTTCTTTTTTTTATACCGCGCGTAATAGAAACGCTCTCGTGTATGCCTCTTCTACGAGCGGATCTAATTTATTACCCGTGCGATTGCAGCCGACGAGCTATTGATAACGTAGCCAAGCGACAACTACGTCGCATTACGTACACGGTTTCGTTCATGCCTCTTATCAATCGCGTTCGCACCACGACGGAGGATTTTCCGAGCCGCGTGCTCCGTTCCGAGCGAACTCATTCGCATAATTAATAGTGCCCACGTATACGGACAATTTCTTTTATCGACATCATCGATGTAGTTCAGTACAAGGTTCCCTAATGTTCTAAAGCGACAACTACGTGTCCTTGCTGTACAGTTATTTAAAATTTTCCGGAAAACCGAAAAAGTAGGCTTTCTCGATTTGCAGATGCGAAATTCTCATCGCGGATTCACTCGTTCGCAATGGTGAGGCAGAATCACCGAGACTATACGAACGCCGGCGCGACGCGGCGGCTTGCTCGAGTGTCACGTACGAAAGTATTGTATTTCGTGTGTAACCGTTTCTTCCCCCGCGGACATGCCTCGATGTGTGCAATAAACTGCGGAGCGTTACGTGGCGTACGCGTTCCTATAGGAGTACATACGTACATACGTAAGTACGTGTACCAGTAGGTATGTACCGCGGACGCGGAGGAGGCGCGTGCACACGCCCGGGCTGCATGCGTGCGTAACGTGATTCCTTCGTGCACAGCATGGGCCCCATTAGTGGCCCCCAGGTCGTAATAGCGTAATAGCTCGACAGGTTAGCGTGGAAAGTATCGAAGAGGCGAAAACCCATAGCCCCTTCGCGATAACTCGATACGATTCTCTGTCACCGAGCCCGTTCTCCCTGATTCACGTCGATTTTAGTCGCTTCCTCGTATTCATTTCCAGACACACGTATATATATTCCAATTGAATTCTCACACTATTTCCTTTAACAGTAACTCGAATTTCATTAACCAGCATGCGAATCCATTGTTTTCGGAGAGAACGCCAAATTGTTGTTACATGCAGTATCATAGATACAAGGAGAATCGAGATAACGAACAGAACGAGAGGAGAACATATTCAGGGTATTAAGAATCAGTTTGACTGGGCAGAAAAATTAGTTCAAATCAAAGTGATTGAGAAACCGTGATACGTCGTTGATAAAAACGCATCGAGACTCGATATCCGATGTATAGTGAATGACATCACTGTCGCGATATACTTTCGACAGTTGTTTCCGTAATCTAGAAGACGCAACAACAGCGTTTATCAGTAGCTTCTGTTTAAGCCTTGTCGGCACTGGACGATTCGTGTTTCGTAGCTAGTAGCCGCATGTAACCAGGCACGTACGTATTCTTATCGTCGCAGCAAAGATAAAACAGACGAACTTCTCCTTTTCGCATACTTACACTGGTCCAGAGAGAGAAATTATAATATTTCATTCTTTTATTTCATTCGTCAACGAGTACGTTTTAATCGATTCAACAGCCTTCGCGATTAGATTGTTTGATCTAAAAAAAATTAAATGAAAATTCAGACTGATTTCACTCCTCGGATGTAACAATGTATACTGGCGCATACGTATAATGCACATTATTGACTTTACGTGCATTCATTACATTTTCTGCCCAGCAAATTTTTCTACAGATTCATCAAATATGCATGTACGCGTGATGTGTCTGCCGATATTCATCGTATGATATCATGGCCCGAACATTTTTATTCGTGATGAACATCGCAAACAAGCTAAGATTACGTTGCGACTGGTATGTAACACAGTGATGGACCGTAAACTATGCTACGTTGCATTATTAATAATCGTGCATAAAAGTCAGTCTGTGATATCTGATCGCAACAATGTTGCTCTGTACAATCACAACTGAGCCAAGGGGAGCCTAAGGTGCAAGTCACGGAGAAGCTTTTAAAGAACAATGCTGCAAAGCGAGAGGAGAAAACGAAGAGAGACGATGAACATACTGTAGATTTCATTTTTCAAATTGATACTGTGCAACACGGTTCTGGCGTTTCATACAAGACGTCCGTGGTCTGGTGATGATTAAACAAGCAAAATCGGTAACTCACATTGATCGAAAATCTTGAGCATCGCTTTCTTCAGCTGCATAATCGTGCGCTGAGCCTGGCGAGGCGCCTCGACGAAGTGTTCACAATCAGGCTCATAAGGCAGAGCGTGGTCGGTCATACAAGTGTCGAGGCTCGCACGCGGCACGCAACTCGTTCTTTCAACGGAGAGAGCCAGCAGAGCAGCAGTCCATCCTCCGGATACGAAAACCGCGCGCGCGTCCTTCAAGGAACGGCTGTGCGTCTCGCAGGACGCTCGCCTGTCCAGCTGGCCGCTGTTCCTCGCCACGACCACATCCTCCTCCTTTCGACGGATCAGATCTCTTGCACGCTCGAGCCTCGAGTCTCCAACGGATTCGGCTCCGAAACACTTTTGACTCACTCGCACGCGCACGTGCGCTCCGAACTTCGAGAAAGCACGCTTGCGTCCTCGTCCTACTCGCTTCCGGCGCGTCGGATGAATGGGAACCGGTGTAATCGCTACGTAGCAACGAGCCACGACCTCTCGCAGCGAATTTCTTTCGATAACGCGACTCCACGCGACCAGCGCGGCCACCTCGACGATAATTAAATGCGTTTAACGAACCAACGTCCCCTGAATAATTCCTCCGCCAATCTCGAAGGTTTAAACATTTTGCATTTTCGACGGTCAGATTCCAGTTCACCTTTCATTAATCGTAAAGGATGTTTAAAGATCGGTCGAACCGTTCGTTAGAAAACGTGACACTAATTGTTAACACGATAGGAGCAACCGGTTTCCGGATCGTCAGGATTCAATACCCTTGGAACGAGCACTGGTCCTCTTAACGAACCGATCGACGCTAAATATCGAATGGATCACCTCGTTCTCACGGCTCTTGATTCCGATCAATTTCGCTAATTGTAAATTGCTCGTAAATTACGTTCGACAGTTTTATGCACATGCGGCAAACGTTGACCGAGGGAGAGTGAAAACGACGATAGGACAACTGACTTTTCAGCATTTTCGCGAATCACTGATCTTTCTCAATGTTAAATATCTCAATTCGATAACGTAGTTTTGTACGCGTCGATCGTTGGAGAACGAAATTGGCGCGGCGCACCACTGTTCCTTCTGCGAACAGCTGACTTTGGAGACTTATCGGAACAAGTTGTATACGCGATGCACGCGTGTATGCATGTTTGTTCGCGCGCAACTTCTTTTCACCCCAATATAAAATGCTTGTCCGACGTTTAACGCAGAATGCGAACGGGAAACACGAGATTTACGAGCAGCTTGCTTCCTGTCCACTTTGCTCTTCCTTTTTCTTTCTTCCTCCACCAAAGAAGAATGCAGTTGGTATCTTCGACGTTCAGTTTGCTCCGATTCTCCTTGTCCGGCGAGTGCTCCTTATCGTTGCCATACTCCAATAAAGAAATCAAGTATGCCGATTTCCTCCACCAAGAGTCGGCCGACGTCCAAAAGACGCTATGTCTTGCCTCGCGATCTTCCGTTTTCTACAGACAATTAAAATTTTTCCTGTTTCGATTGCTACGAGACTTTCTTGTTTCGAAAGCACCTGAACGTGCGCGCACGTAATGCGCACGACTACACGCGCGTACCTTGTTTACTTTTTCACTTTTATGACACTAGCCCCTAGAACCGATTCGAGTTGCATTGAAATCGTTCTATTTAACGATTTTCACTGAACTCCGACGTGATCGTCGCTCGACACGTTTCTTTGTTGCGTGCACAACCGCGAGTTCACGTTTCAAACTTTGAACCGGACTCGTCTTTCGAAACGCAGCTGAAATTTTTTAAATCAACGTGTTCACTCGTGAAACACCAACAGGTTCGTCCGCGAGGAGGAAAACAATGCGAATACGACGCACGTTTCTATTTTATACTTTTTTCTAATTCTCTCGTTGCGTACTAATAATTATGCGAACCGTACGTAACGCCTCGTGCGCGAGTGTAACCGCGACTGCCGACACTGCCTGCTTGCCGTCGAGGCGAATCGAGTCACTCGCGGTCTCGAGAATCGAAACGAACCAGAGAGGGGAGCAAGAGGAAGGGAGGGAGGAAGGGAAAAAGAGAGAGAGAGAGTGAGTGAGTGAGTGAGAGAGAGAGAGAAAGCGAGAACATGTGGGTACAAGTAAAAGAGATAAAGAGAGAGAGGGAAGTTGATAACCAACAAAGATCGCGACTGTTAACTGAATAGGGACGAGGTGAGAGACAGCAACGGAGTGAATGAGAGAGCGGAGAATGAGAACAAGGAGAGGGAAGATTGCGAGGGAGGAGAGAGTAAGAGAAAGAAAATGAAAAAGCGAGATGCTACAAGGAAAAGAGAGAGACAATCGCTCCGTAACGATTGCCAGAGATGGAGCATGCGACAGCTAGCAGGCTCGCTTGAAAGGGTTCAGACGTAAGGAGGATGAAGAAAAAGGAGTGGGAATTTCACAGAAGAAAGGAGGAAAGATTTGAAAAAGCCGACGAAAAACAGAGAATTTGGATATGAATGTATTCAATGGCTAAACATCTTCAGGCGAGAAGAGTATCAATCAGTATTAAGCATGAATCATTATAGCGATTGTCACATGAAAAATTGTAACGATTATTGCATCGATCAGTATATGAATTTCATCGGACAATGTTATATTGCGCTACTACTGTAACTAAGCGCTAGGACATATTTTTTTATCCCATAATTTTTACAATAATATTTATGACTAACAATAAAGTATGACGTCAATAATAGTTTAACGCGATTGTATCTGCACTTTTTCACTGAATATGCGTGCACGTGGTTCGAAATAAGCAGACATTACGAAACCATGGAGGTGCGAAACGCGAATAAATGTCCATCACGCGTTATCCAATCAATTTATATAATTTAGATCGCACATTAGATTTGCATTCGTGATTATTGACGAGGTTGGCGCGCGTTTAAAATTGTATAAGGCGTTCTTAAACGGCGATTACATTTTTTTCAAGACGTGCAAATACAACGATGCGAACGCGGGTCGATAACGATTACCGCGGCTATCGGTTCAATTCGAAATCCCATTATCGACGATAAACATGAACGATAAATGAAACGAGATTAACCGAGTAAGAACTTGTGATCCTTTCACCCGTCGGTTCGGCGAAATACTAAAAAAGAGCAAAGTAGAAGAAACTGTTTAGACACCCGTTTATACGACTCTCTCGGGTCACAGTGTTAATTATATGCGTTTACGGATTACAAGACGCCGTGCGCATTTATAAGTGCGCTGCAGATTTTCATTACCGTATCGAAAGAATTCATTTGATCAATTTCACCTGTCTTATGATCTAGGCTACGTTCGATTCAACCATCGAGGCGCAAGATCCTTTTCAGACGTAAACTCGTTCATAGTGATCGAGGTATTCTATGGACAAAATGGCAAAGTGCATTGGCGTCATCAAAGCGAAAGAGAATGATAGCGGCGAAGACAGGAGGATAGATAAAAAATTGTTATCTACGTATTCGGTTGGCCGACGTGTATGTGCTTACATCGGCTTTCGTGTGATAACCACGCGCACGTTCATCTATTTACGTAAGTATACATACAAATGACTGGCGAGAGAAACCGGAGGTGGAAAGGAAAGGAGTCTGTGTGTATGTGATTGTCCATACGGTCGGTCACGGGCCTTCGTACATCTCATAAAATTTTGTAGGAAACGACTGGGTAAAAAAATTGGCCATTTTTGTTCAATTCATCGAAGGTTCGTGCGAAGAGACGCGGGGCGGCGGCGGCTCAATAAAGAATCGCGTGATTCGACGATGAAACGTTTTCATTCTTTGACACTGTCTCAACCGTGCAGTGAACGACCGCATCGCGAACGCAATCTTGCTTATCTTATGAAACGCGAAAGCCAAAGCGGGAAACAGTGCGCAGACATTTCATCCTGTATTAATTAAATCTCTGTTGCAAACTTCCATTTACTGGCGAAACAATTAAAATAGATTTCTCGTACTGACGACAGTTTTTAATCTTCCACTTTGTAAATGAATGCGAACGAGTTTTAATCAACAAACTAAATGATAAATATAGGTTTATACACAAGTTCATATTTTTTCCCTTCCTTCTTCTCCCACGCGTCTTTTCGACAAAGCTACAACGTGGGCGAGCTAATTAAACGCTTATTTACGCGTGACGAAACAAACACGACGGCGTGCGTATAAAGGACTGTGACTTTTCCTTGGATAAACAATGCTAGCATGTTGAATTTGTTATTATAGATTCCTATTACTATTAAAAAGCTACCTGCAAAATTCTAAATCAATTCATGGGTTTTTCGAAAAATTATAGTGACTTAAAATTTGCATGTACTCTTATGGTAATCAGCAGTAATCCAAAGAAAACTTTCTGGTACTCGGTATGCATG